AGGCGGTTAGAGGTCTGTGAAGAGTGAGGCAGTGTAACTGCCTCGTCAGTTCTCAATGTGTAACTTCGTAGCTCAGTTCATAGAAGCACCCAAATATTATCTGGAAGGCACGGGTTCGAATCCCTCTGAAGCCTGAATTTCTTCAGGCTTGTTTCTTTCCATTTCTAAAATTGCAGTCCACTTGCGAGTAGCATTTCTTTTCTTAAACTTAACAATTGTATATCAAACTCCACTGATTATGTTTTTAGCGGCATTTTTCTCGTGGCCAAAATTATCCCCATTTTCCCGAGAATATAGACTTCTATTGAAAATGATTTATTCATTAAGATCTTTTGAGATTGTACTTGCAATTAAAGATGCATTGATATAACTACCATTCTGTTCTGTATATTGTATATGTACCGATCGGGCAGATGTTATCAATGCCTTCTTTGTTAGGGAAGAGTTTTGATTTTGTGAAGGTCTTGCGTGAGAGAACATGATGAGAAATTGTGTTAATCGGGCTTAACAAGACAACAAATATAGATTGAAATTAAGCAAGCAAGCCTGGACAAGCAGCAAGAGGCAACATCTGAACTTCAAACCGTCTGCCTTCAACTGTTTATGAACTGAAAATAGCAAATATTTGCATGGGTTGCAAATCAAAATGATTTTTCGATTTTTACCACATGGTTCATTTGCAGATTATTGAAGAACTGACTACAAACACAGTCCACCTTTTAGGTTTCCTGATGCGAGAAACTCCAGCTAAAACTAATTGTTCTGATTATTCAAAGAAAGTTTAGCCGTTGTTCAACAAAACCGCGTCCTAAACTGTCCTAAATTTAGCTGAATTTTTTATCTCAACTTTTTTTTCAGTTGTTGGCAGTGCCAAGGGGGCCAAAAGTGAACAGTGGAAGGAAATTTATTTAATTAAATCAACCCTCTTATAGAAAAAGCCTGAGCGCACTGGTTGCATAAAATCGTGGTTTAGGTTAGACCTCAAATAAGCAAATAGACTTTGGCAGAAGCCTTTTTCGCGCGCATGCAGCAACGAGATTAGCGACACACCGCCTCATTTCTCTTGCTTTGTTGAACTGATCACTTAGCACTCATAAACGTTATCTTCAGCAACAGCAAAAAAAAAACAACGACCCGTCTTATATTGCAAATTGCTTTACCTAATGTTTCCGGGAAAGCGATTATCAGATTCAGGACGCAAAGAATGATTATGACATACGAACACCTCATGCTCTCGAGAAGTACCAGCCTGCAAAATATTAAAAAAACAAATAACAGCTTAGTAAACCTTCGAACACGTTTAAAACTTTTTTAAAATTCGCTTTTTTATGATTTCATTTTTATCTCGATTTCCTCTTGACGATTTGTTGATCTGAGCGCAAACACAGTCCACTTTTTTCTTCCTTAAGCACGCGTTTGATGAGTGAAGCTGAGATTTTTTTCTAGATGTCATTACGAAAACTGCCGATAAAAAGATACAGCAATGGAAAATTCATCTGTTTAAATATGTAATGACAATTCAAGCTTTCTTGAAAACAAAAATTGATAAAATAAATCTGATGAATCATGAATAGCTTACCCTTTCGCTAAGACAAAAACACTGAGTTCATGCGAGCGGCTTTCCTCTGATCTGTGGCCTTGAAGAATCAAAAGCCAAAACCGCGGATACGTTGTAAGATTTCCTTTAATTTCTACTGTTTGGCACCTTTCATGTGACACCAGACCTTCCGTTTATTAAAAAACCGTACGTTTTCGCTCCAGTCATCCTGGGAGAATCACAAAAGAGGTGACATTGATTTTATAGCGTTAAATGGCTCCAATCAATTAAAGTTTTCAACGAGCCTAACATTTCATTTACAGATTGTTTCCTTTTTGTCTTGAATGGGTCTTGATAAATGATAAGATGGATCAAAAGACTGATTATAGCACCTACTTGTTAGGGTCAGATGGTATAGTTTCACACATGGAAATTACTGATTGGTTTTTTTTGTAACATCAATAATTGCAGGTTCAAAATAGACGAAAATTAGATGGGAAAAACTGACGTGGCATCTACGATTTCTCTCAAATGCAGACAAAAATAAATTTATTCAGGTTTCGACATATCTTATCCACAAAAAAATAAAATAAAGGAAAAAAAACGATTTGACACCCGATGAGGCCCAACCTATATTTTAAATAAAACAATACCGTCTTTATGAGTATAAATTTTTTCAAATAGCAGCTGGCGTACTTGGTAATTGCAAATCCTTCCTGGCTTTTCTCCAGCTGCCTTCATTTGGTTCCTAAGAGCACAATAGAACTAAATATACACGAGCGTATAATCACTTGTGTTACGATGTAGAGTCAGTGTGCTATCGATTGTTGCAGATCAGGACGTTTCCATTGCCGTACTAAGAGGTATCAATAAAGTTTTCCATAAGTAGTGGCCGATTATGCAAGTGGTTGTGCCGTAAGTCGAAACCCAAACACGACAGCCTGGTCGCAGGTTGAACAGACGGCGGTAAGTGGTCTTCTAGGTGGTGGTAAACCGTCGGTAAGCGGCTTTTATTGAAATCCATGCCGAACTGTTTTTTTTATGTCAGGTCACAAGTTAAATGCAAACGTGTCAGAGTACTTCGCACTTTGGTTGTGTGCTATTGGTGGGTCACAGTGCTCTGATATTGGTCACGCACTTCAGCCCTTATTGCCATAAGGGGCGGCCAATGTTGCTTTGAAAAATCGTGGGTCTCGCAAACTTTTTATCCGACCTCGAAAATCTGTTCGACCTTTGCGATGATCCTCAAAGTCTTACATTTCTAGTAATATGGTAAAGCATCGGAGCGCGGAATCCGAAGGTCTGAGGTTCGATTCCTCGTGGAGACTCAGCATTTTTTTTTCTTTGTCCCACGCTCGTGACAAGACGAAAAAAACGTCTTTCTCTATTTTCCCTCTTATCATAATTTTCATCCGCAATCGACCCACGCATTAATTTTTCTTTATGATCTGAAAATTTTAAAGTGTTTAAACGTCAAGTTTCTCAGGCGCAGTGTGTCATTGATGGACTAAAATAAATCTTGATGAAGTCAAACCGCAAAATAAGGAAAACGAGACAGTAAACGAAACTTCCCCCGTAACTGGAAACGTATGAAGGGTAAATATTGTACCACCTTGCTTAAAAATAAGCACCAGCATTTATTCCCTAATAAATATTAAAAGGTGACGATTTGAAATTAGTTTTCAGCGATATTTCCGTTCCATAAAATCAAGATGCATCATACTCTTCGCCCAACCGAGTTAGAGTCCGTTTTTAATTCAAATATTGTTCATATAGATACATAAATAGTTTTAAAATAATCAAAAGAGTACATGACTTGGAAAGTCATGACAATGTTTGTAGCCACAGTCGCTTTTATTATCATTAATTTGGCAGTGAGATAGAATATTTTCAGTTAATATTGTCTGAACGTAACACCAAATTGTTAAACTACACATGAAGGAAATTTACGGGATTCAAAATTCTAGAACTTGCAGCAGAATCTTTAAAGTCGAAAGATCTCCCTTGCAGACACCATGATTACACATGCGCACGACAACGGGTGTTTATTTATAAGTGAAAAAAAGAGAAAATTAAGACAGAACAAAACGCGTCGTGCGTTTTTTTTAATTGAGAGAAGACAATCAGAACATCTTTAAGTATTAATGATTTTTTACAGCACAAATGCTAATAAATTGATTTGTTGAAAGAAGAAGCACGAGTGTTCACGGTATTCTAAAGACCTTAAGACACTGCTTAATTGCGCGATTGAAAAGTGATTTTCTCCTTTAGCCAATGCCATTCGTTTGCTCTAGAGACCGCAAATTTCACATGACGACAGACGCACTGTAAGGGATGAGTCAATCACTAGATGGCGTAAGAACAATACATCAATTAAGTGCTCTTATGAATAGGATTTTTTAAAACGCTAATCACCGTCGGATATGTTTAAAAACACTCTTTTAAATAATTCAGAGTTTTAACTAGAGGGTGGCGTATTCAAACTTTTTTTTTGAGTTGCTTCATTCGCCTTCCGTTGAAAAAGCTAAGGAACTTTCTACCTTTATCATAAATTTACTGGTAAGTTTCGGTAAGAAAAATGAAAGTAGCTGGTTTGGAGTTAAGATGATGCATGTCTGCATAACAAAGGAGAGACCGGGAAAGCGTTTAAAAAGTTAACAAATACCTGTTAATGGTAAAAGTGGCAAACGAATCGCGACAAAAATGCAATTTGTATCTGCTACAGTCTCACCATCATGTTGAGCTTAAAAAAGCTTTAGTGTAGCAGCGCCTACATAAAAAATTCCATCTTATGCTAAACACATCATGTGGATAACGACTTCGTCTTGAAATCTCACAAGGCGAACAGATTGACTGTTGAATACTAAAGCCTGACAGACCCGCCGTTGTGGCGCAAAGTTTCACGAAAGATGTGAATAGCATCAGTCTTTGTTCTATTTTGTGAGATTTTTTTACAGTCATGTTGTAGTAAGTGTTATTTTTCTTGCTTACGACAAGTTTAAAAATAGCTTATTCACAAGGGCAAGGCGCAATTACAAACATTTGTTAGTTTCCCAATGCTTTCTGCAATTAGCATAAACAACAACCAAAAAATTGATTAGAATGGTTACATTTACATTTTGGATTACCTTCGATCTCGAAAGAACATTTTTAGTTTCTTCATAATTTATTACCTAAATAATTTCGCTTTTGATATTCAAGTGATATTCAAAACAATTTGTGGTTTATCTTACGTTTTAGCCAGAAATTTGTTTGTGCATCTTGAAAAATGTGTCCTATCAATGTTCTCTGCAGTTTATTCGTAGTTCTAACATGTTTGTCTGTCGCATCAAACTGTACAATGGAAGGTTTTGCTTCAATCAAGAAGAGTTTTCAACTACAGAGAGCGTAACTTACAAAAAGATTACCTATCATGTTTCTCTTCAGAATGTACATTTGATGTCCAAGAAAGAACAAAGCCAAAATGAGGTAAGAAAAACAAATAACGTTAGAAAATGGTAACAAAAAAGTTAATAAATGGATGAAATGTTGCCAATACCTAACTGAGGCGAAACCGCTTTTTTATATGCAAAACGTTATCTGACGTTAAAGTTACATCACTGTCACGTCCCAGAAAATTGTATTTATTGAAACGAACCTTGCTCCTGAAGAATATATTTGTGAAAGATACATTATAATTTTCGGCGACCGTTTTGTAAACATGCTCAAGAGATCACCTAGGGCGATAGACATTTAGACGTTTTTCATTCACTTGCAAAATATATACAGTGTTTAATTTTAAGCCTACTGTATTTTTATATCTTGCAGAAAAAAGTTTCTAGTGTTTCTAGCGGTTTTATTCTTTTTCAATTGTGGTTCCAGTGGCCAAGATATTGTACCTTTAAGTGGGCCTTTACTTGAGATAGGTTAGTACAAGTTCCGTTTTAACCGCTTTCTTTTTCCTCGCGAACGCCAAAATTCAAAACGGCAGGGCGATGAGTTATAACAAACGTTTGCTTGTAATGTGGTGAAAACACTACCGCGAACAAAAAGGTTAGTAAAAACAAGCTTTCCTTTTCTGCCTCAATACAAGAGCAGTCGTTTTTCTAAATTCTCAAGAAAAAAATTTTGAAAAAACCTCCTTTAAATATAAGTAAATGATAAAAAAAAATATCCTTAAAGAAACATTGATAAATGCATACATATGAAAGGGAGATTACAAATTTCAATAACAGACGGACTCAGCAGGAAAATTGATCCTGGTTTCCGTGCGTCCTGTTCTTCCGTCCGTACTCGTCTCTACATCGGCCAAACGATCACCAACGACCTAGGCGATCGGGATGACCGAAGTGATCCTTCTCAGAGAACCGAGTTTTTGTTCAAGCCTGGTTTCCCGTGACTGCTCGGATGATTCCAAATCTGGGGGTTGGGAAGTTTCCGTGAAATGGCCAAAAAGATTAAAAAAAACGTTGAGATCCAGCAAGTACAATTTACAAGAGAAAATATGGGTCCGTTTATTTTCTCTCGAAATTATTTAATGTTTTAAATTCCGTAATTGCCCCCACTATCAACAAAATCATGGCGTGATCTATAAGATAAAATTCTGAATTGAAGAGGAATTAAAGCTGTCCGCAAAAACCCTATTAATCAATAACAGTGTTTATACATACCTTACTCAGGGACAAGAACTTGTCGTTTTTCCAATGGGCTATGCGCCTGGCAGAATGTTGAAGATGGTGATGATTTTGACTGGACACGTCATGATGGGTGTACACCAAGTGAAAATACAGGACCTTGTAACGACCGCACGTCCGCGGATGGGACTGGTGAGTTGGTACCGACCGAAGTTGTGGCATGGCTTGTTCTCAAAACATTTACACTTCGCTTGCCACAAGACAGAAGTAATAACAAATTGAAGCCCGGGGAGGAGAGATAGGGGAGGCCTCCTCCAAACTGAAAAGTTAAACAGTACTTATTACAATGGCGATAAATGAAGCAATCTAATGCTGAAATAAGTTGCGTTGAACACTTGGAAAGGTTTTGTGAATGAAGTATTCTTTTCATTTAAATGCAAACAACACCTCAGTTTGCGAAAAACACAACAAAATACCAGTCATTTTGATCTTCTAATTACCTGCAAAGCGCCATGCGGAATGCATGTCAAAAAATGGTTTTAGTTCTTACTATTAAACAATAGCTGTTTACAATCAGGATTCCCAAGGGAACTTACAGACGATGATAGCAAGCTTGAAATGCCGCTAAATCGTAAATGAAGGTCATTAGAATGTTCAGATTTCAAAATTGACTGATAATTTTCTCCTTCTTTCGTATACGTAACGCTTACTTCAGGTTTTTTCAGTTTACGAAAGTTGCATAAATAAATGCTCTTGCTATTAACTGTATTCTCCCAAAGCTTTGGATATGCCTTTGAAGAGTATTTTGTTTTTTAACCAGGAAAGTACCTCTACATTGAGTCGTCATATCCACGATTGCCAGGACATAAAGCTCGTATCACACGGGAGTTCGATCAATTCAACTGTCTCAAACTGTGGTATTACATGTCTGGAGCTGATATTGGCTGGTTGAGTGTCTATCGGTGTTCCGAAACAGATCAAGAGACCTTATTATGGAGTATGAACAAGGACCAAGGGGAGGAATGGAAACAAGTGCAAATAAATTTAATGGACAGCGGTAATAACGAACACACAAAGGTGGGCGGTGTAAACATTCATGAGCTATTCTTTATATTTAGCTTATGGGAGAGCATGATCAGCGCCAGCGAATATCATTACAAGAGTTATCTCAGTAAACCCCTGTCAGACCCGGATGGCAGAGAGGTATGAGAAGAGGAATGGATCTATCCAATCACAATAGAGTAATGAAACCTCGTATTAAATCTAGACCGAAACAATAACAGAAGTTGAGAGGATCAACCTCAGTGACATAAACCTAAATAGGCCAATTTTGAAATATCTTTAGCCTCTTTTTGAAAACGAGGCCTAGTGCTCAACCATTCGTATGAAAATGCGTTTAATTTGCATGTGAATGAAAACTTACTTTCCTATGAAAGGCGAGCACCAGGACCGCCTTTCAGAAAGAGGCTGAAGGTAATTTGGAAACGGGCAGTTTAGTCAAAAGACATTAATTACCCATAACTTCTCACCTTTTTATCGACGAAATTTTTCATGTTTCCCTCATTGGTTTTTTTGGATCAATATCAGTATCTGGTCAACTGCTCACCTACCCCTCCCCTAACTCAACAACAGTCAATTGACAACAAGTTAAGGTTAATGTTGGGTTAGGGGAGGGGTAGGAAGGCAGTTGCCCAGATACTGATATTGATCCGTTTTTTTTTCCTTATAGGTAATCATCGAGGGAGGAATTGGAAATGGTTACCATGGTGATATCGCAATTGATGACGTAACCCTGAATAGAGAATCCTGCAGCGATGTTGGACTTGGTTGTTATAATTACTGATAAAAAAAATTTTTTCCGTCAATAGCTAATGCTGGAAAAGTTTAACAATAAAGGTTTAATTTTTTATTCATTTTTGGTTTGTTTCCAGGTTTCCCTATGAAACAGGTTGCCCATTATAGATTGGACGGTAGAGAGAATGACGTAATGTGAGTACATTTGTGTAAACCAAAATCTTACCCAGATTTCTAGGTCGCTTCCTATTTCAGCAGGGAATTAAAAAAAAAATAGGGTGGGGCATTTGAACGCAATCTTTGCCCCGGAGGTGAGAAGGAAAAAAAAAAATAATCTTTAAAACTAGAAATATCTGGGGGATGAAGAAGCTTCGAATTGATCGACTCATGATTTGCAAAGAGATGAATATCACGAGAGTCGATTGATGGCCAAAAGTAGGTAAAGGTAACCTGCAGGCACAGACGAACGGAAGTGGCCACCTCAAGATCTGGTTTAACTTTAAATCTAATTGGCTATGGGGGTGATTCACGTCACTGAGGTTTGGTTTCACGACCACCCGCGACGCGATGTAAATCAAACCTAACCTAGTATCGGCTTCCACAACCAGTTGAGATAGATCTAAATAAGAAAAAAGGATTAAATATCCTTTTAAAATGAAAATGCAATCAATTATTTTTAGGCTGGACGGAAATACTTCATATAAACTACAACAAGGCTGGAGAGCGGTGTACCTTGATGGTGTGACGTCATTGATAAGTTTTCCCAAAGGGCTTTTTATGAGTAACATCAGCTTCACGGTGGCATTGTGGGTGCTGACGCAGAAACCGGATGTTGATTCAATTCTCTTTGCTTCATTTGACCTGTTTCAAATCAAGCTTAGTAATACGACTGTTGAGGCAGGGATGATGGGCAAGTTCTCCTGTTGCTTATTCGACCTAACTGGCAGGTAAGTTATCTGTAATAAGTACCGAAAAAAACT